TAGCTTTCTTAATTGACTCATATCTTTTTCGTTTTAACTCGGATTTTAATTTTTTTTGCACAGATGGAACGAGTTCACCGTGCTCTACCAATTGAGATCAATTTTCAATATTTTTTTAGGAAAAAAAATTCTGGCCTCTCGGTACCAACTGCATACCATATGGTATCTTCTTCGTTTTTAATTCGTTTTTGAAAACGTTTGCACAGTAGGGATGAGTTCATCATGATCTACTGGATCTACAAATTTCTGGGTGAACAAATTACAGGACAAAAAAATACCACACAATACCATACAATACCACCCTGGTACGTGGTGGTATTGTATGGTATCTTCTTCGTTTTTAATTCGTTTTTGAAAACGTTTGCACAGAAAGGACGAGTTCATCATGATCTATTGGATCTACAAATTTCTGGGTGAACAAATTACAGGACCAAAAAATATCACACAATACCATACAATACCACCCTGGTACGGGGTGGTATTGTGTGGTATACAATGTTAAAAGTCGTAAATTACAATTAATATACTTCTACTATCATGTATTCAACCATCCTACAGTATTGGTTTGTTCATACCACCATGGTACGTTTTTCAAAACATAGGTATGCTTTTATTTCAATACCAGTCAATACCATATGGTATAGGCTGGTAAAAAATGGCTCAATTTTTTTTGTTCGAAAAATATATTTAAGTGGATATCATTTTGAAGAGCACAATTAATCTGATCTAACTGTGCAAAAAAAGTTAAATTTCGACTTAAAATGAGCGAGAAATCGTCCGTCAAAGATTAAAGAGGGAAAAATTAAAGGCTTTTCATGAGAGAGAGGATGCTGATGTCATGCTGATGTGGATGGGTTACTCATGGTTACTCACCATAAGGTTACTGACCTGATCCATTCCCGTTATTTTATGAATAAGACAGTATGTAAATTTACGAATAGATAATCATTTCTTATGTATCAATTAAGAAAGTCTACGTCAAGTTTGAATGCTAATAACAAAACTATTGATCATCTCATCAATGTTACATTCATACGTTATAAGAAACAATCTAATCTCATTGTATCAATTGAGCAAAATGTGTTACGGAATTTTTTTGTAATAATTAAGACATTATGTAAAACTTATCGAGAAATAGTTATTTCATAATTAAGACACTATGTAAATTTTATGAAGAGATAATAATTTCTTATGTAAGTCTACGCTGTATAAGTTTGAATGAAAGTTCCTAAATATATTGATCATCTCATCAATTTGCAATACAAAAAAGTTCTAAGATTGGTTTTTATTTTACATAATTGGTTAATCAAATGTGAAAATTTTGTAAGTTAATTATTTTTAACTAAATTTATTTATTATATTATGCCTACAATTCACAATCTCATCAATTTTTAAACGCAAAGGTTATGTAAGGTAAGTTACCTTTTATGTAATAGTTTAATTAAATGTAATACTTTTATAACCTGATTTTACTATTAAACCACACATTATAAAATATTTACTTAACATCATTCTATAATAGTTATGTAAATTACAAATATTTTATGTGAAACTAATGGATGGATAATTATTTTTCATATATAAAATAAAAAATTGCATTACGTAATTGTTTTTGTAATGATTAAGACACTAGGTAAAACTTATGGATAAATAGTTATTTCTAATGTGTTAATTAAATATGTTATGTAATAAATATAAGTTTGAACAAAAATTTCATTATTATTAACTAAGGTGGTGATCATCTCATGAAATGTGCATTTAACAATGATCATTTAAGGTTAGTTATTTTGCACACAACAATTTAGTCACATGAGATGCTTTCAATAACTTGATTATATTATTAAGGGCAATGTCTATTTTTTACCCAAACCTTTTTCAGATTCTTTTATTTTAACCAAACCTATAGAAATTCTATTTGTTATCCAAACGTATTATAATTTATCAAAATCTGGGCATTCATTTTGTTACCGTTACTTATTTCGTCCACGTGAGAGGTGAGATTTTGTTTTGTTTTTTGATAATCTTTTTATTAAAAATAGTAAATGATGGTATTCTGACCGCCACGTAGGAAGTCAACTCATTATGGTCATACTTAGTCAGCATTGCTAACAGAAAAGTTGATGGAGAGTTAACGTTTGGATAATTTTTAGGAATTCAATAGGTTTGGTTAAAATAAAAGAATTTGAAAAAAGTTTGGGTAAAAAATAGACATTGCCCTATTATTAAATTACATATTACGAAATATTTACGTAACACCGTTCTATAACAAAATGCATTACATAAAATTCCCGTGTCTTCAAAATATTGAGCTATACTTGAAGTAGTCCACATAAAATTCAATGGTGTTCTCCTGCTGTCATTCTAGCTATGCACATTCAAACTAATTTTGCAATCAATTTCATTAATTTAGGTGTTTTGAAACTTCCTTCTAAGATGGTTGTTAGTCTCCAGAGGTCAGAGAGCATAAGTATTACCTTAGCTTAGTCATGTACTTCGGTAGATGTTTTGTGAGCTTATTGCTATCCTCTGTTATATTTGGTACAAGGTAATTACCTGTGCACAAGGTAATTAATTGGTATCCTCTTTTATATTTGGTACTAGGCTAGAATCGCGCTTTGCCGCGAGCTACTCAACCATTGTATTATTGTAGTTGCTCAGTGAGAGTTAATTTTTTTTATGGTGATGTATTTAAGATGATAATTATTTATTTTTTATAGAAAAATGAAAACGCCTTATTTGATATGTGTATATCTAGCGAAATATTTCATGTATAATTGTTGAAATTCTAGCCCGGGTAAAAGAAAAACTCTAGAGAGAAACAAAAGTAATACAAATTGGAAGTCGCTTAAAATTTCACGCATTCAAATCCCATAGTGGAAAATGACGACCTAATAATAAGTAGAAACCATCTATATTTATTTTTAATTTGACACGATATTGAGCTGGAAAAATTAGTGGTTCGTTTTTCAATTATTAATTCTATAAACTATTGGTGAGTCGTGTATTGACCTATTTATACTTGTGAATTAGAATACATAAAAATAGTATACTAATTAGAGTTAGACGAAGAAGGCAAAGAAAGAAATAAAGAAAGATATATGAAATGTGAATGAAAAATGAAACGAACAAGAAGTAGATAATGGAAAGGTTTGGACCAATTCTTTTCATTGGCCGTCAATACTACAGTCAACCATTTTTCACCATAGCAATTTATTGACACTTGCTTATGTAGATGTCGCATATTTTGTTACACGTAGTTAGTAGAAGTTTGTTTAGTACCTCGTACATGTACTATTTATTTAATGTTCAACTTACTGAACAAATATAAAACATCTAATACACCAAAGGTATTGAATTGATAATTCAAAAATTTTTATATGTATATTTATATTAAATTATGATTTTTATCACTACTAATTTTTTAAAGATTGTTCTATTAAAATGTTATACAAAAACTTCGTGCAGATCAATATCTTAACGTTCTCTCTCGTAGTACATTTTACTAAATATGTTATCACGTCACCAATAGAATGTTCTTTTAAGAAATTGTGATTATTTTTTCAAGGATGACATACATATTTTTTTTGAAGTAAAAATCTCATCGAAGACCAAAATGGTTGAATATTCTCCTAGATTTGAGTGACACAAAATCTTGTATTTTACAAACTGAATTTATACTTTTATTTTATGGTGTATTGGATTCATGGATTGATTCAAAAGGATGGTGGATTGATTCATGGATTCAAGTGAAATCTAAATATTGAACCAATATGTAAATTTTAAAAACTGTAGGTACTAAAATCTCATAAAATTTAGGGACCACAAAATAATTTTCCAATGATATTTTACATTAAAAATTAAACTTTGGGTATGAAAAAGTAAAATTTACAATGTGACTAAAGTGTAGTTTTTAGGGAACAGTAATCCCACCTCAACTTTATGGTACAAAATGAATTTATACTTTTATTTTATGGTGGTTTGGTTCATGGATTGGTTCAAAAGGATTGGTGGATTGGATTCATAGATTCAATTAAAATCTAAACATTGGATCAATATGTAAATTTTAAAAATTGTAGGTACGAAAATCTCATAACATTTAGATTCCAAAACATGATTGTTCAATGATTTTACATTAAAATTTCATTTGGAGTATCAAAATGTAAAATGTACATTATAGTGACTAATTCATGGATTCAATTGAAATCGAAACATTGGATCAATATGTAAATTATAAAAATTGTAGGTACGAAAATCTCATAAAATTTAGATACCAAAACATGATTGTTCATTGATTTTACATTAAAATTTCATTTGGAGTATCAAAATGTAAAATGTACATTATAGTGACTAATTTGTAATGTAAATAAATTTGGAGTATCAACATGTTATTGTTTATGCAACAGTAACCTTACTTAGGTTTATATATATTAAACTGGGAATCAGTGTTTGGCTGACCAAATCTGTCTTGATTTTGATTTGTTCCTTCTAAGTGGTTCATATATTCACCTACTATATTTTCACACGAAAAAATGTAGCATTCTGCACACAATTGAAAATTTTGTTTTGATATCACTCTAGGTGAAGCGGTACCTGTCAGACCACTTAGTTAAGCCATAGATATCACACTATCTATCACTTAAGTTATGATTTGTTTGGACAACTTCAGATTACTTGGGTATTTGGAATAAACTAACTCATTCATCGTAACTCAATCGTGAACTTGGTACAACATTAAAAAGACTTGGATTACCACATTGGTTGTTTAGCAAATTTGACTCTCACTTTTGTTCTTAACAATTATCTTAGAAATCTAACAATTCAATTCAAAATTCTTGTGGTATCTCAAAAAATAACAAACTTAAAAAGTTCATTTTTATCTCGAAAGACTTTCACTTTGAATCAAAACATAACTCCTCTTCTACGCTACAAACGTATATTTTTCTTATAGCATTCTTTGATTTTATTATTAGATCATACATTATAAAATATTTACATGAATTATGCCGGAGAGATTCCTTGACACATCCATCGACTATAAGAATAATGATTTCCAGTTCATCCCATTTGGAGCTGGACGAAGGATCTGCCCAGGCATGAATTATGGGCTTGCTGTTGTCTATCTCCTACTCGTAAATTTGCTCTACCATTTTGATTGGAAGCTCCCAAACCAAATCAAACCCCGAGAACTTGATATGTCGGAAGAATTTGGAGCTACAATTGTAAGAAAAAACAATTTGTATCTCATTCCCATTCCCTACCATGCACCCTAAGTAGTAGTAATACGGTGATGAATTCAGTACCAAAGCTAAGCAATTGCATTGTTTTCGAATGGTGTTTGAGGGTTTCATTAGAGACTTTTGCTGTAATGTGTTTCCCGAAGCAATAAACTATCTCGTCCTTCATCTCTCTATCACTACCTACATACAATTTTTTTTTTATATTGGTGAAATCATTTATTAGTAATTAGGCCAAAAAGAGAAATAGTTTGGGCACCAAAGGCCTTCCTTAAAATGACTACACGTTAATCACAGAATAGGTGCTTCAAGAATATGTACTCTATCCTTAAGATTGATCAAGCAGGTCAGTTGACTTTTGACCACCGTCATTTCTTCACATTATCCACATGTTTTCGGGCTATCACTAGATCACATTGAGGAGGGAAGAGGAAGAACATATCCCTTCATAGACAGTTGCTGCTAAGAGTTATGCCTTTTAGCTTCAAGAATGTCATAATCAAGTCTCAATAGATGGTGGACGTGGTCTTTTCTCGAGAATTCCAGAAGAACCTTTTCCCCCTTATTTAAGTGTATGTATAGCGAGTATCATTTACTTCCCATAACACGAAATATTGAGCGGGATCCATCAACAAAACAAACCCCAGCTAAAGAGAGCAACTGGCCAGATTATTCATGAACGGCGTTCACCAAGCTAAAGAAAGAGCGGGTTTAACCAGACCAGGCCAGACCACCTTAAGTACATGTCAATAAGTGCTAACAATGAGACTTTTCAAAAGAGGGTCTGTAGAATGTGCAGTAGTAAGTTAGAGATTTCCTATTGCTAGGGCAACTAAGTAGTCCAGTTTGGGAATTTGCCTGCGAATAACCAGCCAAGGCCGCTAAATTTAATTCGCTTTACAGGAAGGAAGTCAATACCCGCAATTAACAAATTAGGGCAACTCCCTCAAGAGAAGCCAAACATTTGAGATCCAATTTATTCCCCTCGAATTTTATTTGGATTCAAACCCTGCCCAACAATCCTCCTCTTGCCGTTTTCATTACAAGACTCTCAAATCATCAGCAAACTTGAATTCGAGGAATACTAACCAGTAACCACTGTCCAATCATATCAGGTACCAACCATATAATAAGAGATTGCTGCTATTACTTGGTTTAGGGTTTAGGGAGATGGATACGTCGTATGGTGCAGGTGGAGCTATTTTACAGGAAATTTAGATGACTTTATTACCGTTTTCTCTTTTCTCTTGTACATTTACTTCTTACACGTACAATAGGATTGTCTATTTAGTTGCTACTAAGCCTGTTCATCGACTATTTATCGACTACCGCATTTGGTTGCTTAGCTAGATGTAATTATCTATCTTTGAACTATTATTTATGAAAAGAAAAATAAAAAATAATTAGCCGTTGGAGATGATTGAGCAATGAATGCAATGATTCCTTATTTGGGATGATGTTTATGTTTCCTTAGCTTTTCTGTTTTGAGCCAATCTGTGATTTCTTTTCGTTGCATCCACCAACCATTTCCATGTGCCCAAAAGTCTTTTCTGCAGCTCCTTTTGGTTTCTTCCTTAATTATCTGCAGCAACCCACTTCTTTCTGTCTTTTGGAATCTTTTCCTTTTGCTTTTTGAATGATGTGCTGGATCTATATTATATATACATCCGGCTCATAATCTTCCTTTTGAGCAATATTGGATGCCACATGCGGTACTGTTTCAATGGCTGCGGCTTCAAGACCAAATATCAGACATGGTTGTCAGTCCCACAGCCAGCCACCAGCCCAGATATGGTAGATTTTATTATCCAATAACATATTATAGATCCACGACCGACCTGACCTGACCTGCTGCTACCTCGTTTCGGCTTTCAGTAAAGTTATATCTCCTACGTGATTGGTGGAGTTGGTGGGTCGGATCACGGATGCTTACACTCGAAAGATTCGATTCCTGCCTGAAAAACACCCATTCCCTTGCAGGAAAAAAAAAAAAAACATTGGATAGTCACATTTCCTAGGAACCATGAATGAGCAGCAAATCATATCATGTGCTGCTGGATCGTATATATTATTAGTATAATTAAACGGCAAGCTCTGCAATCAGCAACTGATACTCTGCAAGATACATAATATATAATAGTTCATATAACAAATTACAGAACCGAACAAAAGGAAGGACACAAGATAGCTAGCATGCATTGGGCGATTGATTCAAGGTATTTATTGAGGAACCTGCGGGTGTTTCGATGGCGCTTCAGTCCCACCTGCAACCACCCAGATATGGTATTGTTTAAACATAAATTTGGAGATCCACGACCTGCTGTATATGCTTGCTGATAACATTGAATTTGCACATGTTTTTACTCCTTAACGGTTGGGTACATTATTTTTTTTCTTCAGTTTTAGTATGTATCAATAGTTACTCGATTAATTTTTATCTTATGATTCTTATCAGTTTTAGTATGTATCAATAATTAGTTGATTAACTTTTATCTTACGATTCTTAATTCCATTAATTTCAATATGATTTCTTGATTCCTTTAATTTCAAATTTAATTTTTATATTCCAATAAATATCCATTCAACTTTTATCTTATGATGATTTCTTAATTTTTTCAATTTCAATATGATTCCTTAAGCCCTTTAATTTTTATATAACCGTACACTTAGTCCTTTTGACTTTCAATATTTGGCTTATTTTACGCTAGGTTGTGTTCTTTTGTCACATTTCAAGTCCTAACATGTAAAGTGAAGCATAGACACAAGTTACAAGTCAATAGGAGATCAATTGACGACTCGGGGGAAGAAACTTGGGCATGATCCAAAGAAGAATAGATCCATCTGCCCCGTCACTGGTTCAATTCTAATGCGAAGCAGTTGTATCTTCATTTTAATTTTTATGCTTTAAATACATTATTTCAAATTAGATATTACTAGCTTAGTCATTAATTTCAGATTAACTCAATTAATTACTTATTATAAATTAGCTAGTTATGTTCTTATAATTTGAGATACATTAGATATTACTAGCTTAGTCATTAATTTCAGATTAACTCAATTAATTACTTATTATAAATTTAGCTAGTTATGTTCTTATAATTTGAGATACATTATACATAGTTCTTTTTCTATTCGCCTTTAAGTTTTCATTTCACATAACAAATCAATTTAATTATTAAACGTTTATATAAAGGTTTGTTTATGAGAAATTTTACATTGCTATATAGTATGGTACTATAGGGTTTTGCCTTTATGGTACAACTTAAAATTGTACATTTACGTTATGGTACAACTTCATATTGTACCTATACTTTTTGTACAAATTCTTTAATGGTACAACTTGAACTTGTACCTTTATGTGATGGTACAACTTCAAGTTGTAAAGTTGCACCATAACATAATGGTACAAATTGTTTTATGGTACAACCTAAACTTATACATTTAATGTTATGGTACAACTTTAAGTTTTACATTAAAGCACCAATACTATATAGCATAGTTTTTTTCCGACAATATACTATATAGCATAGTAGAAGTGCTCATTTGTTCATTCCTTAGTTTCAAACTAGATCAAATAAATGCTTCCATTTCGATGATACTTTCAGATATATAATAATAGTTTTTGCTAAATATGAATATTGATAGACGTTCTTTTTTTGTATGAAAAAAGAATGTTTCGCGCTATATTGAAATACATTATCAAATTTGTATATTTTTCGTTATTTATATTGAATTCAATGAACCTTTTCTTGTTCAATTTAATAAAATAAAATAGTCTTTGAATATTTTTGTTGTTGGTTTTTTAGCCTTTTGCGATAACGTATTAAAAATTTTCGCCCCCCCCCCAATATTCAAATCCTTGCTCCGATCCTGCCAGGTAATTTGCCCGTTATATGTACTTTGACGAGATCCGTTCATCTGAACGGTCAATTATTATTTTCTATTAAATTGAACTTCGGATTTGGATTTTGGAGAATGAGGACGTGAGATTTATCCATTGGAGATTAATTTATAGTATCATACCCAAAATTGGTTTAATTTATGGTATAGATAAAAATATCTCACTTAGAAAACAATAAGAACTATCGTATGTGGCAAATATGCTCTTTCATCAATACTCTAATGACATATGAACTATCGCATATGGTTATTGTTTTTTTTTTTTTTTTTTATAATGGCGATAGATTAAAAAACTGGAAAAAACAAACAAGTCTGTACAAGCCACTGGGATCGCAAGGAGCGATCACACGAGGCACTGGAAACCAAGGAGAAAGACCCATAATTACAAAGGAGAGAAACCAACGAAGGGAAGTCCCTTGACAAACCTGCGAATACAAGGGGTACAAAATCACCTCCCACCAACTCCAACAAATCACAAAACAAACCCCAAAACTTTCGCATATGAACTATTGTTATAACTAATAACGTTCATTCTCTCGTCTAAATAATAATAATAATAATAATAATAATAATAATAATAATAATAATAATAATAATAATAAGTTCTCAATTATTTCTAATAAAAATATGTTTTATAGCCATATAAAAATTTCATAAAATAGATTAAGTAATTTTGCAAGAAATAAAAAGACTTCTTCACATCGGCCAATCAACCCCTTTCCATCGGCTAAAAGTTTGTTTGTAGGTTTGTTTGCTCATGTTTTCCATCGGTCTCCATCTGATACTTGGGATGAGGAGCTGAAGTGGGCGATTGATACTCTCAAAGGTAAATCAGTGTGAAAGTAAATTACTCGCGTGATCTGGAGAGCCATAATCCGTATAATCTGACGGGAAAGATGTATGTTGAGGCATGGAGGTTACTAGAAAGAGTTTTCCAGTGATGATTGAGCAGATAAAGAATGAAGTGAGAATGTTTTTTTGAGGGAAATGTGACTGATTCTGTTTAGTATACAAGGAATATAGTTTGCATAGAGTCTTGAAAATTGAAATGTAAATCTCTTATAGGTTAGTCATTGACAGAGTGTGTTGCCAAAGGTGCTTGTTTTTTAGTGTTTTTTTTTTCTACTTTACTTTAGGAATGCTTTTTTAAGTTATTTAGTTGGATCTTATTACGGGTTTTCCAATTTCTATTTTTGAATCAAATATAAAAGTTTGTGTTGGTGGCCAGGTGTATCATGTGTCCAATTTCTATTTCCATGTGTAAGTGTTTTGTAGTGATTTAAAATGTGCATATTGTATACTTCACTGCAAGCTTATATTCATCAATTAGAAACCGAAAGTCCAAAATTAAAGACTAAAAATAATTGATTGAATGTTGATTGGTTAGTAGAGATTACTTAGGCACAATCTCATAAACGAATTACGAAAACATGACTTAAAAAGACTAAAAAACCTTAAATATAGTTATGAATTACATGACATGAAATTCACTTAAAACATAACTAGAAATTACTTCACACGAAATTCAGCAGGCTCAACAGGCGAGGGATAAAGGAAAATTTTATTAGCGAAGCTGAAAAGAAAACAATGAACCTGAAACAGATCCAAGCCCAACAACAATTAAAACGTACACTGAGGAAAAGAAAGCAAAACAAGGAAGCACGTAACCTCACACATGGAAGAACCACTCAGACTAGTACAAACTGCAATAGAGGGAGATAGGAAAAAAAAAACACACACACACAACACACACGAAATTGTTCATAATTTAAAAGGAATCCATCTAGCTAGCTAGCTCGATGATCTGGACGTTTCAAAGCGGCACAGGATTGACAAAGAGATCAGCAATGCGTTCTCTCAGAAACTGGGGGTGAGTGTAGGCATCGGCTTTCAAGTAAATCACACTGATCGTCCGCGCAAAGTTGATGACAGGCAACAACAAAGCTCTAGGCAATGGAGTTGGTTTCTGGAACACCTCAGTCATGTCCTTCCAGGCATCCGAAATCCGCTCCCACATTGCCTTTGTCGACTCCTCCTCGGAGACACCGTGCTCTTGCATGTAGCACTGCACTGCTGACGCCACGTGCGATCTCATTTGCTCGAACTGCATCCACATTATTAATAATGATCAAGAAACGAACAAGGGTCATACGTAACGTACGTACGTGTGAATCTCTTTCTAATCTAATGTTAATATATATATCCATGTGGCCACCTAATAAAATATAATGTCGTACCGGGTAGGACATGATGTCGTTTTGGACCCTGCAGATGGAGGTGGAGGCCATCACCATCTTATTAGTTACATCGGCTACCCACTCAAAAGCCTCTGGAGTGGCCAGCTCTGGTTCCATGCCCAGGTACGCAGACGGGCAGAGGAAGAAATAGCCGCCGGTTATGTTTGCATGCGTCAGGTACTCCTCCAGCTTCGGAACATGACCCTCAGTGCGCCATCGGGCCTCGCCCAAGAACGACCGGCACATTCTCTTGAACTGCAACATAGCTTACAGTAAGTTTGTTTGTTGAGATCGAGTGGGCTTATAAATGAATCATATTCCCACCCAAAAAAAAAAAAAAATTACAAAGTTAAATTAATTTAAACCAAATACCTCTCGCTTGCAGTAGTCTACGCCATAAGTGGGCCCAGTTCCTGAAATTGCCTGCTCGATTTCTTCGAACAGGTTAACGATGACGATCCGGTAGGCCTCCTTCATAGTGGCTGGAAGTTCGTCGAGAGCAGAGATATCCATCCTAAACCAATTACATTAATATTAAATCCGGTTACGTACGTTGAGCTTGCTGTGAATTAATTAAGGATCCTAGGCTAGGCTAGACGCGCGTACCTCTGAATGGCTTCCGTGAGCATCTCAAGCTCATCGTAATTGCCAAAGTTATCATAGACGTCGTCCAACAGGACCGACACAACTCCACACTTGGTGAGTATGCTCCTTCCCACACTGTACCTGGGCTCGTGGTAAACTGTGTTGATCCAGAAATACGTCTCCGCAAGTCTGTCTTTCGCATATGGGAATTTGGTCTTCGTGTCAAGGCTTGCCCACCACCTAATTAGTAAATAATATCACATAAGTTGAGAAGAAATCATATATATATATATATCCATTTTGTCCCCATAATGAAGGGTACACATTTATGTATGTAAACCAAATTTGTACCGACATTGAGAGTTCGCGGAGCTCTTCCCGATGGACTCTCTGCACAAAGTTGAAGTCCAACTTTGCAAACTTCAAGATTATTGCTTCATTATGGGTCATGGCTTGCTGGTCGGATTCAGAGTAAACTTCGATGCAGTGCCTAGTAATTGTCCTAGGGACACATTTCCAAATAGGGAGGTCGAGGGAAAACTCGATTTGCTTCTTCAATAACGAAGAGGTCTTGTGATCCTGGACAAGCAACTTGAGGTTTTTGGTAGTGAAGCCTCGAGCTTCATCCAGTATGTCTTCTCCATGGATCGCCACATGTGATGCCTCGTACAAACTCAACAACCCTTGCGCATCTGATGCCAACGATTCTTTGAACTTTCCTCCATCGTCCTTGAACCTTCTAAACCCATCTGCGCCCACGTATATAATCATGCATATGAATTACACTATCACAATGAACAATATATGTACGACAATGTTGATCTGATCCAAGGATAACCATTCATTTTTAATAGAGGTGGCTATTTCCATTCCGATTCAATCCAATCACTTAAATATCCAACTAATCCAATTTATTTGATTCAAATTTCATTAGATTGATGGATAAATTATAGTTTAGTTCCTATTTTATATTTTACAATTTGGTACCTTAAATTTATTTTTTATACGCAGAATATTATTGGAAAATAACGTTTTGGTACCTAAATATTCTCTAATTTGATATTTTAGTAACTAAACTTTCCAAAATTTACATATTGGTCCAATGTTTAGATATCATTTGGATCCATTATCCAATCCACTAATCCATTTGCCACTCTCATTTTGAATCTTCCCTAACAAAAGGAGTCACTGAGAATCACTAGTTATTCACATGTTATTGGAGTTTATGATATTGGTAGTATGTGTTAGCATTAATCATGAATGTGTAAACATCCAATATTAAAGTAAATTTTAAGTATAAGTCTTAGAGGTACCTGCATGTACAAACTTCAAATTCTAAGAGAAGATTTTCATTCGAGGAGTTGAATAAAGAAATAAATTGATTATGGTTGTGCCTTTTCTTAGAACTCTTGTTATGGTGAACAACTCTTGATTACGGAATTTAATTCTAGGACATATCACCTTATTGTTGGGATTGAGATATATGAGGTTATTATAAAATATTTACAGAATTAGGCATACCAGTAGAAACACGAAAGCCTTGCTGTCTGAGGAGTCGAAACCAGAGAGCGGCATTGCAAAGATCAATATCATCATATTTCTCAAAGAAAAATTCCCCTCCCTGTACATACACATTTTGAAGAGCTTCTTCAATCTCCATCTGGAAGTGATACTCAACGCCTAATCGTTGGATTGTATCCATCAAGCGCAACTTCCGAATTATGGCCTCATCATCATCATCATCAACTTCACCCGTCACCATCCTTCGCACCTCTTCCTTCAAAGCTTCATATTCCCCAATTTCTAGATCTGGGACAGGATGCCCCTGAAAAGGATAAGAGGGATACATCTTTTTATTGGTAGATATACTACGGTGCAGTTATAGTAGGCGCAATCAGAGATCTGTATCCTAGCTAGTACACTAATATACCCTTATATACATAAACAAAAATACACTGTTTGTTAATTGAGAATCTCCATGTACGTACCTCATCATGAGCCTGAGCCTGAGCCTGAGCCGCAGCAGGAGTAGTGGTGAGGAAGTGATCCCCCCACACTGTTTCGTGGAACTCGGTTGTCTGTATCCGACGTTGTTCCCCACCGGCCGGAGCAGTCGCAGCTGGCAGTGCTACGTTGGATTGAACCACCGACGACATCGTACCTACGTTGTTAATTTCTTCTACCTGCAGTCTGGTTTTTCTATCTTAGCTAGCTAGGTCTTGATGATCGCTGGCTATTGGTGAAAGTGGAGTTGGCTACGACTGGCCGCTGACTATAAATAGGAAGCTCGCTAGCTAGGGTAGGGTAGGGTAGGGTAGTGTGTTTGCACAAATTAAACACAAAGAAAGAAACAAGTATGTTTGGATTGCGGTCCAGCGCACATATCAATTTGTCATTTGAAAATAGGAAAGATTCCATGACAAAAGGAACGACGTTGCTGCGGCGGACTCTGCATGGGTTAGCTTAATTAATGTAAAAAAGGACAATCCACCCACCACCTTACCCCGCACTAGTCCTTACCAAGAAGGAATGAAACATACCCACTTAAAATAATAATAGGAATTAACTCTCCTCGTATTCCATAAAAATAAAATAAAAACAAACTATCCTCGTATTAAGCAAGTTCCGCACCGGTGGCTGCCGTGGAGTCGTCCGCCATTCGGTTAAGCAGGAGGATGCCGGGATGGAAGGATGAGGTTTCCTTCTTCGGTATGTCTGATTGGAAGAAGGTATGGAGCTTTCCCCTTCCTCCTACGGCAGAGGCGGTAATTGAGAAGAGTGGTAGGGTACCGGCTGCACTTGAGGAGGCTGAGCTTGATGATTGTCCAATTTCTCCATGTTGCCCGGTGTGTTGGGATCCATTAGAGACTCTGGAGCACATGTTTTTGTCCTGTCGGGTGGCTGTGGAATTATGGGCTTATTCAAGCATTGATGTTGAGGGTATAGTGAATTCTCCGCTGAATTTTGCTCTAGTCTTCCGGCAGTTTATTGAGAAAGAACCTGGGCCTGAACAAATTGTGAGGTTTGTTGCATTACTATGGAGAATATGGAAGAGCCGGAATTGGGTGGTCTTTGATCATATGCAGTATGATATTAGGATTTTGGCGCGCCAGTATGAAGCCCAGGTCAGGGTGTGGCTTGCGAGTATGCAGCCGGGAGAGGGAGTGGTGGAGCAGGGGAGGAGAGTGTCGGATTCTATGGGGGGAGTGCGCGGGCATGTCGCGCAGTTGCCATTTTGCTGCTATGTGGATGGTGTTGTTCTGGCGCATGGTGCTTGGGGGGGGGGGGGTTTGGTTGTTCGGGATGGGACGGGAATTATCAGATATGTCAAAGGCTTTCAGTATGCAGGGCTCGTGGATCGATTTTTGGTGGAGTTGATAGCGTTTTGGGATGCAATTCAGTGGTGCTCTTTGAAGGGTCTAACTGAGGTGATGTTCTGTGGGGATGCGAAGACGGCCATTGACAAAGTTCAGAAGATGGATGTGCGTGATGTGAAGGGTGGAAGGATATTGGTGGAGATTTTGAGCCTTAAACAGCAGTATCGGAGCTTTGGAATTTCGTTTGTTGGCAGAAGTAACAACTGGGTGGACCATGATGTGGCCAGGAAGACCCTTTCCTTGTTACTTGCGTCTGTAGATAGTTTTGCTTTTGAACAGTGGTTTGAACTTGGGTTGTAAACTTTGCTATCTTTTTGCCTTGGTAATACAAGTGATCTATTGGTAAAAAAAAAAAAGGAGTCGTCCACCATTCATTGACGATTAAATGTCCTCGCAAAACATTGATGGTACATGACAGTAATGATTCAATCGTCATTCAACCATTTCCTATCAGTAAATATCTCTTATCGGTTTTGTTTTTGGTAGAAGGTTTTTCGGGTGGGACCGCCAATAAAATATATTTTTTCAACCATTGATTAAAGTAATTTTTAATATAAGATGTCATGTAAAATGGGTTAAAAATGATTTTTAATATGAAATAAGATTTCATGTTTCCTTATATATATAAAAAATCAGGTAAAATACGATGTCATGAATAACTATTAGAAATAATTTTTTATATAAGTTGTTAGATTTTCTTTATATTAAGAAATAAATTTATTTATTTATTTTCAAATTTATATAAAGAAAGAATGTTTTATGGGGGGAAATTCTCGTTAGAGACGTGTACAGGATTTTGATCTCATCGATGTTGTTGCAGAGTTTGATATAGACATGTGATAGATTTTGCACCAGTAGGGATGAGCCATGAATTAAATCAGCAAAGATGAGTTTCAAGATTATTTGTGCTTAATCACAGCAGGATGGGAGACGGAATCGGCTTCGGAATAATCAGCCGTTATCTTCTATCCCACAGAATTAAAAAAATTCAATTGTTGTTATGATAACGAAGCCATTGCAAATTGAAAGCACCTCTATATATAACATCATAACATTATCTCTTTAAAAGAACAAGTTACAAGTTTACTGTTTCATAGAGTCACATCCAAACACTGTGACTTGGTTTGCTTTTTTGCCTCTTGTTCTCCTTTCTGATTGGCCCTTCTTCTGAGTTCTGACATGCATAGGTGGCTCTCTTTTGTAATTAACCATTAACCAAGACTTTACTGAGGACTAAAAATGCAATTATGTTTTATTTCTTTATTCCTTTCCTCACTCCTGCACTTATTCCCATCCATTCATTTTCACCACTCCCGTAACTCCTCCCCCCTCCATCAATCTTCATCCCTCCCTCTCTCTCTCTTTCATTAATCTTATGTTTAATGATTTCTTTTTATGTACCTAAATTCATGTGTACTCAATTTAATTCGATCCGGTTTCGGTGTTGCCGAATTTTTGGTCCGCAACATATTTTACCAACTTTTGTAAATGACGAATTGGGTTGTCTGTCGCTTTTGTTAAAAACTATATTCAACCTGATTCGACCCAGTCCCGATGTTGCCAGATTTTGGTTGGGAACGAATTTTACCCTCTTTTGTTGAGTCGGGTGTACTCAATCTAATTCGATCCGGTTTCGGTGCTGCCGACTTTTTTATCGGCAACAGATTTTACCAACTTTTGTAAACTTTGGAGGAGTTTTTGTGCCATTAACGTTCTAATTAATTAACTTATGACAATTGAGCCCAAATTGGACAAAAATCAATGAGTATCTGACCTAATTCCACTCGGCGTGAGCGTGTTAAACCGGACATTGACAAATTTTTGGTCGACAATGAGTTTTGCATGCTTGAATCAATGGATGTTTGACCTAATGTCGACCCGACTAAAGCGAGTTGAACACAATATTGACGAAGTTTTGGTCGAGGTCGAGTTTTACATGTGTCGGATTGGGTCGTTTTTTTTTTAATAAAAAAAAAATGCTTGTTCTCATTGGCCTTTTCTCTGACGTTACTTGCCTGCTTTTTTGCTTGTTCTTATTGTCCCTTTCTCTGACATCTTGGAGCTCGTCCTGTCACTTCCAATTAATCCCCTCTTCCACTTCTTTTTTAGTTTTTTTACTTTCTCCTCTTATCTCTCACGTAGAAGGAGAAAAGGAAGATCTTTCCCCTCACTTAGTCCCTCTTATCCCTTTTCCATTATCTCTCCCACGTCAGAATCTCTTCCAACCACTCATCTCAAAGAAGAAGAAACTCACCCCTTCTATCCCTAGCAACCACTAATCTCAAGGAAGAAGAAGAAACCCACCCTTGCAGATCAATTTCTTAAACGTTTTCCAGTTCATCTTCGATTTCGATTCTTTTTGTTGAACTCCCAATCCCGACGCCCACATGTCTCGGTCGACACTTGAAGTTTACACTTGTCTTTCTCCATCTAAGCTTCTTCTTCGGCGAATCGACGAAGGGACGAGGCAACCAGACTTCTTCTCTCGGCCATAGGTGCTTACGACGAGCTATTGCTTCATCATCAGTTTTCCTCTCTGTTTCAGTTTCATTATAGTCTCTGTTCCGCTCTCTCTTGCTGATTTTGTATTGGTTTCTTTGTTCTCTTTGTTTATCACAGCCGGCAGATTTGAGAGGTTCAGTGATGGTGTGGAGAAGAAGCTAATCTCCAGGATTCCTATGATAATCGGTGTTTTGCGTGACGGTTTGGATTTCAGGTGACGGTTCTTTCTGGGATTAGTTTGTTAACTCTGTTTTCTTCCTTTCATGGTTTCGTTCTCATTCTTTCTTCTTTTGGAGGGTTTCTTCGTCCCCTTTCCGAGGAGGTTGGGTCACCGAGGTATATTACAAGGATTCCGATGGTAATTGATGTTCTGCCGTGCCTTATCCGTAACCTTATGAACGAGCAAAAGCGAGCGATGGGTGGCCGATATGTCAACGGAGTTTTTGTCAACTTCCTATTCCACTGCAGGTTCCTTATTCTATATAGAAATTGACAGGTTTTTCTTTAAACTTTGCATCTAACTTTATTTAACCTCTGTGTAGTTTTAATCAAAGTGGTTTTGCGTTGTTCTTTTTTTGTTTTCCATCCTCAGTCGTGTTTGGTTGCCTGGGATTGCTATCTGCTCTGATCTCCTTTCTTGCTGTCATTGTTTGTGTATGTACTGGTGATGAAACCCTGTATCATCATCAACTAAAACGTCATATGACAATGAGTTTTCTGGACCAAAAAGTGAAACAGAAAAGAAAAGTAACGAAATACAAACTATGGACACGATGCCTGAAGAGCTGGGCTTCGCCAAACAGTTGGTTGGGATTTTCCGCCATTAGTCAGGTGTTCTTATAAATTGTGACTTTAATCGGTTGTTTTCCAGTTTTAGTTTGTTCTTTTTACCGCTTAAGCATGTTGAACTTCTGTTCAATGTTTATTCTTTGTCTTTCACGTCTTTCCGACCACTCCTGCTTTGTTTTTTGCTCACTTTACTCTTGCTTGCTGTTCCATTTTTTTTCATCGTTTCTCTTGGACTTAAAATCCTCAAGGTTGTTGCTCAGTTTTTATTCCTTTCTATATAGGTCATCACTGAGTGCTCTGAAATACAGTTCTTCATGGAACTCCTGGTGGTTGGTGCTTAGAGCTACCAAAGCTACAAGCTATCCTTCTGAGCTTGGCTGGGTAATGATATCTTGGAGTTTCAAGAAGATGTTAGCAAGGTAAGCTTCTCTTCACCATCTTAGCAAGTATGTATGATGAATGCTTGCCGGTTCAGTGAGTAGTTTGCTGCATTGTATATCATTTTTAACAAGCATGATGCTGACCCTGATATGGGGATGGATCCACAGTTTGACAGTTGCCTTCCAACGGCTGCTCTTTATCTCAAGCAATGATTGACAACAACTATTTTGATTCGTGCAAGTTAGTTCTCTGCTTTATATCTCTTCCTCTTTCATCTACTCTTTTTTTTTTTCTTTCGCTGTATTCAATCCCGCTACCACAGAATTTTTCCTATTTCATTCTAGGATTTACTCTTCCTGATTGGTGAGAAGATTTAGTTTCTCAGACAACAATTGGTGACCCATTGACTGTCGAATAGGTGGGAGTCAAATGTAGGATCTCATAATAAAGAAATCAGTTTCTCTTTTACCTTAGAAAATTTCACTGTTTTTTGTCTGTACATGCATGTTATACTAAGATCATAGCTGCCGGAAGAAGATAGAATAGTAAAACTCATCCACGGAAGTTCATCTCGGCAAGGAAAAAACTATTTATAGACGATTATGTATGCCCGATGACAATATTGATCTGGTAAGCCTCTGCTTTTTGGATTTTGTTCTGTTTATATTCTGGGTCTCTTCCTTTCTTTGATCTGGTTTCTATATGTTTTTGTTTTGATTTGATTTCCGCCAAGGGAAAAGTGAGAAGAAGTCGCCATCGCCATTTCTCTCTCCATCTCATGAAGAAGAAGAAGAACCAGCTTCCGGAATGATCTCCAACTCGCTCCTGCCGGCTTCAGTTCCTGTCCCTTCTTCTCTTGAATCTAACCTTTTATTCTTCTTTCCCAGGTTATCTCTTTCTTTTTTCAGATTCGCTTGCCACATAGCTCCCATCTTTATATGTTTTTTTGCCACAAATCCGATCTCTTTTCTGGTGGTCAATCCATGAAGGCAATGGAAGGAACCTCCCCAATGATGACAGGTCACTAGCTCCTCTCTACCTTTCCAGTTTCATCATGGTATTGTTATTGCTGATTTGGGGATTGTTGGTTTCCTTTTATTTGGGTCTATCTTTCTTATTTCCACGTTGTAATTCTGATTTCCAGATTAAAACTCTCTCATAGGATGCAGCAAAAAACCAACAGTCAGTCTTTGTCATTGCTGGAACACTAGGAATCCCAATTAAACTCCTTTTAGGGTTCTCTGTTTGGCAGATTGATGTTGAGGTATCCCCTTTGTCATTCTACAACGCCTATCCATGGTCTCACTACTCTAGCTCCACCGTTGTTGTGGAACGTTCAGCCTTTGTGTTGGATTCTTCACTTAGTGCCATTTTCCACTGCATGAACACAGAACTGTTAGGTTTCTTCGATTTGATTACTCAAGACATTTTATGAGTTGATGATACATTTGAAATGGGTTTCTGCTTTTTCCAGGGAAGCGCTTCATCGTAATGCCTCTTGAGAGGATGCATCGTCGTGGTGGGTTGTTGGTCAGTGGGGGTTCTGTTCAGGCCATCACTACCAAACAATTGCAGTTTGGATTGGGGTCAAACCGTCACTAGCCTATTCCTTAGACCCCCTTCTAACCCTTCGTGATATGCATCAATCCGAGTAATGCCTGTGTGATTTTTGTACGGCTGTTTTGCTGGTTTTAAGATGAGAATTAAACAAGTATAAGAGGGTGCTTTATGCTTCTGTTGCTGAGCCATCTCAATGGTCACTTGCTGGATGCATCCAGGCGTATAGAGTGGTGGAGATGACTATGTTGTTCAGGTATTTTCTTCTGTGCTTTTCTGATACTTTTGATTTTCATGAATAGTTATGGTTAGAGTATTATTATTGGATTCCTTTTAGAATCCAGTGAAAATTATTGTTGTCGGTGTGATATTTTCCTTTTTTCGTCAAAGCACGAGACATGATTCTACATTGCCTATTTCGTACAAGTCAATGCACTTCACCAACTAACGCAGCTCAAACCAATGGATTGAAGTTTACCTTCAATATCCTTTTTTAGGTCCCATGTCTGCACCAGTAATACTCCCACTGAAATCCAAATAATTAGCTCACTCAACAATTGAATAATGCTGGGTTGTGATTAATGATGTTGTTGTTGGTTTTTGTATGTTTTTTATCTTCCGCGTACTGTTTATTTATTACTCGTGAACAAGCGCCGCTGGTATTGAGTCAGAGTCAGACACTGCACCATGTTGCCATTTTTGTAGCCTGAACCTGTTTTCAATCATTGCCAGTTATATGTTTTGATCTCGTGTGTCAATCAACTGAAGGCTGCAGTTTTTGACACTGAGCGAAGAAAGTGTTGGAAACCACACTTGCAACAGTGTTTATTCAGAAGCTTTCGAAGAACTAGAAGCCACCACTTGGTCCTTCTATCACCAATGCAAGGTATTTCCTTTTCTGATATGTTGTATTTAGTCCCAAATGGGCTAGCTTCCCTTGACAAATTTTGTCAGTCATGCATAAATAACAGAAGCCTTTAATTAAGTGTTATTGTTTTCACTTAATTACAGGATTCTTGAAGATGTGATGTTGCTGGATGGAATAGGTGACAACGAAGGCCGTCCTCTGTTCAACGTACATGCAATGTAAGTACCTGGTGAATGGGATCCATTTTTGATTTTACAATTTGTTTCGCGGATATTGTAGTTTTTGACAAAATCCTGAAAGTAAATACTGTTAGAATCCCAACCCACTAAATTGGTTGTCTATGTCATCTTCACAATTTAAAGTTTAATTGAATTCTCATTCAAGCCAGCTTACATGGTAGTTCTGTGAGTCAAACATCCGAGTGTCAAACGACAATACTTAAAATGTTATATGACGAAAATAGAGCCAGTGAGGTTAATAGAAAATTCATTTAGCTTTTTCTGGAGTTCATGCAGCCTAACACAACTTCCTCTTACAATGAACATTAAAACAGTACAATTTCAGTCGAAAGTATAGAAGGAAACAACGTCTAGCCAGAGTAAAAATTACATAGCTTGCCTCTGCATTCACATGACTATTGACTGGGATATTTTTATCTTGGCTCAACTGACTTAGGCTTTTACCCATTGTAAGGATTTCATTTTACTTACTCATTTGCTACTTTCACCGCCTGCAATCTGCATAGTAGGATGTCATTTGTGGTTTATAATGGTCCCTAACATTATAGATTTTATGGTTTGGTTTTGTTTGTGCCTATAGTTTTATGGTTGCCCATATGCTTTGCTCTACAGTTTGTAGCCGGTCTGTTCTGATGTGGCACCAAGGGTACATGGAACTGTGGATTAGGAGGTATAGCGATGCACAACTCAACTTGCGTGTGCGTTGCTTCATTATGATTAATTGAGGTTTGTTCTTCTGTAACTTCTTCTTTTATTCCCTTTACATGTTCTGTTCTCTAATGTGGTCTCGGTTCTTTTCCCCCCTTTTTGCCAGAGCTTTGCTGTACAAATAGGGAATGAATTGCATATGCAATTGAGAGGACTAGAGTTGAATATTGTTATTCTAGGATGAGGAGGAGAAGGTCATGTTACAGCCAGGTATTTGTTTTCCTATAACGGTCTGAAACTTTGGTTCCTACAAATCCAGTTTTAAGTTTTCATGATGTGAAATAATTTGAATGATCTTTAGCAAGCAACCATGTGGAAAAAAATGAATAAATTTACCATAGTTACTAGATAATTGGTGAAGTTTAATCAAGCGATAAATGCCAGATTGCCTGCTCTCAATTCCCAAAGAGTTGTTGAGTTAGTAAATAATTCATATATTCAATTGTGTTAATTTTATTGTTTTCATGTACCTTATACGTAATTTATAAAGGGTGTTTGCAGCCATTAACTAATTGGTATGTTTTCAAAATGATTTACTCCTCAAACCAACAGTTAGGTGGCCTGACAATTCTATGTGTTCAAATTCACTCTCCTTTCCTTTAGCTATGGACTCTGCTGGTGTTTCATTTCAGAATTTCAGTTATGGCGTGGAGAAGAATTCCAATTTCGTTTTTATTCTCATTTCCACTCTCTCTTTCTGATTTTGTATGAGTGTTTATGTTCTCTTCCTTCGAGATGGGTGCCTATTTTAATCACAAATGCCGGATTTGTGAGGTTCAGTGGCAGTGTGGAGAAGAAACTAATCTCCAGTTTCCACGACGCTTTTAGATTTCAAGTGATTGTTCTCTCTCTGTGATTAGTTTGTTTACTCTCTTTTCTTGATGGTTTCGTTTCCATTCTTTCTTTTGTCAGGGGGTTTGTTCGTCTGCTTTCAAAGGAGGTTCGGACGGCGAGTTTTGTGGCAAAGAAATTGATCTCAAATTCTTAGGAAACTTTATTGCCCGTTGAGCTTGCGAAGCAACAGGCGGAACCTACTGTGGTGGTGAGCTACCTCTCTTGATCTGATTCCTTTCTAAGGTTCATGTTTACTTGGATATTTGTTTAGATCGTTTGTTTGTTCTCTACTAGGAGTGGCGACGACTGTTTCACCGGCCACTTCATAGCAGATTTTGCACTCTTGAAGGTTAGGTACATTCTTTTTATAGGCTGAAACGAATGCAGTTAGGATCTGTAGTTGTTGAATGTGTTATTGGCTTATTGCTCTGTAACCCAACTGCTATAAATTCTATCAGGGTCCTGCAAATTCGAAAAACTCTTTTCAGTTCGTGCACTTTATGATGTTGTCTTTTTCCTTCCAAGCTTGATGTGAATGTACGACATCCCAATTGCTGGTAGGACAGTTGGTGTGATTTTCGGTTCTCAAACTTCTATTTACGGCACTTGACTCCTGCTATAATATCTATGCACTTCACTGCTACTTATGTCAATTGCATATGTACCATGTAGGTCTTTGAAAGTTCGAATCTTTGCTAACTTATCCATAAAAGTGCGCTTCTTTGCTCTTGGTTATATATTCCTTTCTTCATGATGATGCCTTTTTCGGTTTAAAATTTTGGAGGTTTGTGTATGGATATAAGAAATAATTGGTGTGGCCTTATCTACTTTTCTTTGCCCTGGAGGAAATAGTATTTGATTCCTGTCTTGGACGTCTCAGGAATTAAGACCTTGGAAAATTGATTTGCCTTCACTTGATCCTGGTGAGCATCTCTACTTCTTTCATTTGGTTTTATGCTCTGCCTATTTACTTCATTCTACCATTTGATTCTTTGAGATTTATTTTCTAGGGTCATGGTTAGACTGCATTTGGTTTAGTAATTTGGTTGATTTCCTCATTATGGCGTTTGATTAGCTCCCAATTTTTGAGGTTATGCTTCAAAGCCCTCATTTGGATATGATTTCTGAGTTGTTGATTTTGCGGGGAAAAGCCAATTGAACTTTGATGATTAGGGATGATCAGACGAACTCCTCATTTCTTCCTAAAAAATTGTTTTCATACTTTGAAAAAGGATAAGTAACCATAAAACAAGTACCTAATACACTCACAAGAGAAGAGCTTCCTGTTGTACCATATACTACCTGGGCTTGGATTTCTTTGGAGTTCCTTTAATGTCTGTTGATGCAATTGTTGAGTTCTATTTTTGGCTTTTTTACGCTTTCCTCACCATATTCTGTGTAGTCTCTGATAGCCCGTGTGATTATGTCTCTGTCAACCATATTATGTGTACTCTCTAACCGTTGGATTATCGGATGCAATTTCTTCTAGGGTTGTCTCTCTGAGCTTTTTACTAATTTGTCTCTATGGGCTATAAGATGGGATACAGTGCTGAGGGGTTTAGGAAGCTCAATCCTTTTATTTGTTTTCCATTGGTTATGTTCTGATGTGGTTTTGGCATTATCCAATCAGTTGATACAACCCTTTTTAGTGTCCTCTTTACAGACAACTGATTAGTGTTTTTATTTCCCTTTATTCCTTTAACCCTCAGTTGACTCCTCAAATCTCTGGCCTAGGAAGACATGATGGACGTACTTGGGAGTTTTTAATTTATTTTTACTTCGGTGGTTGAATTGGAACTGCCTGCTTGATTGCTCATTTTTGTTTTAATGTATACATGGACTACTTGAGTTTGACTAAGGTTGCCATCTGCTGTAATGATCCATCTTTTGTCATCTCAGACTCGACCCGTAATGGCTCGGAAATTCAGTTCTACTGATCTATGACCTTCCTCTGTAAGTTCATTTCTTATCACTTCCGACTCTTTCCTTTATTTATTGACATCCAATTGAGAATGAAGGTTTATAAGTTGTTTTAGGGATCATTTTCTGTAGTTACGATTGTCCGTTGCCGCCCCATCATTCTGTGTCACTAAAGACACAAACCGAGAAGCACTGACCTATAAATAGAAACTACTATCTTTTCCCATAAGTGAATTCGGATTTGAATGCTTGTGTTCTTCTCAATCATGTTAGTTTTGTATTATCTATAGCTTACTTTTCACGATTCTCCTTACCCTTCTTTTACTCTTTCCGGATGCTTTTTACCCGAATTATCTTGCTATCTTACCTATGCCTTACATCAAGTTTATTGGGTTTCTCCTAATATCAGGTCCTTGCCTATCTTTCAATCTGTGAAGAAAGGGCAAATCTTTAGCTGACTCCTCACTCCCATGATGAGGTGCTTTTATGCAACTCCTAAGACCTACTCACCTTAGGTTGACCGAACCGTTGCCATCAGTCATTGATTCTCTTTCTTCCATTTCTACTAGAAGATACAAAGGTTAGCTCTTACCTATTCATTCTTTTGGCATAGAACCAGAAAACTTGAGAAACTTATAGACCCTGTAGTCAATAGCACGGTTTGAATGTCTCTAATGTAGTGTTCTATAGGTGATTAACCTGTCACCCTTCTTTCCCTTTAGAGATTTTACAATTTGAATTCATAGTGGCTTGAAACCAAGTGTTTATAGTTTTGTTGCCATTTAATTCTTTGTAATATGACTGCATTTGTAAGCCTACTTTCTCATGTACCCAATGATTATTGGTTCAGGATTTTGGTCATCAATACTGTTGTTTACTGTTGAGGTTGAGGCGTATGAGTTATCTTTTTTCCAGCATGTGCTCTGCTGTTTCAAGTTTCTTTCAGAAAGAATCTCATTGAGTTTGTCTAGAGCGTAGGTTTTCCCATGTCATGGTGCCGCTTTTGCATTTCACATACTATGGTAACCCTTTGCATTTCACAGTACAATTTGGTTTTTGCCAGCAATTAGCTCTTATTTTCCTTCTGGTTGACTGGATACCTTTTGTTTTTGAAACACACTTTATAGTGAGCGGACCTTTGCCGATCAAACTGTTTGAATGTTCTTTTTCAGGTGAATTACATGAATGTTCTAAGTTGTCTATGTTTTCTTTGTTTCTTCTCAACTCGCTCTTGCCCGTGAATTGCAGTTGTTGCCTACAGATGTACAATTCCAGAGATAGAAGCATAGAGCAACACAAATTTGTGCTTTCTTCGTCTGGAATCAAGCTAATTTGGTTAGACAGATTATATCCAAAATACATAGACAGACACGCGTTATGGTATAGAACTTAATTAACATAATAGGGCCATGTATGCACTGTATTTTGCACTATGTAGTTCCTCTATGGCTTGTGGGTTATTGTGCTCTTGAAGTTGGCAAAGATGAATTAATTTACTGGGAATTTTCCTGCTGTACTGCTTGCTGGCCTTTCTTCTTAAGTCAATTCTACTATAGAGTCGTCTACTTATATTGGGTTGTGCAATAGTGCTTGAAGGTCTTTCGCGTTAGAAACATTGGTAATGATCCTTTCTCAGGAAAGTGCGTGTGTGTTCCATGCTGCTTCATCACGATGAGATTTGGAGCGCCATAACGGACAATTAAACTCTTCTGGAAGTCAATTAATTAAGGACACTTAGTTAATTATTATCATTATTATTATGATGAATATGATGGTTAGAGTTGAAACATTCTAATAAAAATATTGATCATGGTGTTCTATTGTATTTACCATTTGATATGATTTATTTGAACGGGCTATTCTTGCAGTTTTTTGGTCCGCTGGAGCCTGGAGCAGAGTTGGTGAGTCTTCATCTTTGCCTTGCTCAGTTGTGCCCAATATCTAATGCAGCCACTCATGTTACAAATTGACAGAAAGTCTTATCCTTGAGATGGTCGGTTTATTAATTTCTACCAGTTTTGAATATGTTCCTTCTATATTGTTGTGTTCAACAGTTCGTTTTGCCTTGCCTGCTTACGAGCCTCCCGTTCTTAGTTCTTTACTCCACCATATTCCCTTTTGGTTTCGTCTTCATGTTTCAAAATTTTCCTTTAACATAATAGGAGGGTGTGACCTTTTTAGTTGTCAGTTGTATATGTAGTTGAATACCAACATAAAGTTATCATACAGATTAAAATAGTCTATTGAAATATTTCAAGGATGCATAATTTTTGACACAGTTTTTATTAGTTCTTTGAGAATTGGTTTTTGTCTTCAGACAGGCTGCACCAACTGTGGTACAGGAGAACAGAAAGGGAAGTCCGACTTTAAT